TTTCCAACAAACGAACAAAAAAATATATAAACAGTACTTCCCTAGTAGAGAACTGGCGTTATTCACGTACTGTGACTGTGCAACCAATATTAACAGACATTACTGATGCAATAGGATCAATTTCACAGCAATGCATTGCAACATGTACCTTATTACAATATTCAGTTATGCAAAAATAATCAATTAAATTCATATTAATTATTAGTATTTTACTTGTCACTCATATAAGATTAGGGGCACATGATAGTGTAGTTGGTAGAGGCACTATGCTACCAGTCAGAAGGTAGCAGGTTAGATTCCCAATGAGGTCACTGGGATTTTTCAACTGACCTAAAACTTCCAGGCGCACTATGGCCCAGGGGTTGACTCACCCTCTAAGAGAAATGTCTTCATGGGGGTAAAGGGCATCCAGCGCATAAGGCTGACAACCTCACTGCCAACCGTGAGAGGATTCTCTAGAAAATGTGGGAGCCTCGACATCTCACAAACCTATGGGCCTCCACAGGGACAGCTTTTTCTTTTATTGCTAGTGGGGTGGGACTAAGTCCCTTGTACTGCGGCCACTTCTGGCCTATTGTACCAGCCCCAGATGATAGGGGAGGGTGACTGTGGAGCAATTGGTGGAATGAAGATTGGCAGGGGAAACCAAAGTACTCGGAGAAAACCTGCCCCAGCGCCACTTTGTCCACCACAAATCCCACTTGACCAGACCCGGGATCGAACCCGGGCCGCTGCGGTGGGAAGCCAGTGACTAACCGCTTGAGCTATGGCGCGGCCCACAGGGACAGCTTTACATTAGCTTTTACTCATATATAAGATTTCAATATGGCATCATACAAAAGCTCTAATTTTAAGTTATACCAAAATACCTCTTCATTGAAAGCTGTCACAACACAATTAATAATATATGTATGTAATCAATCTCCTCACCAGATCAGACATACACACATAAATGGAGGCACCCGTAAAGAGATATCAAAATTAAATAATAACGTACAATATAGCAACCGACCTCCAAGCACCATAACAACCGTCTGTGTATACAACACGTCCTCATAAGCACCACCATACATTATTACGATTACAACTACCTACTTTGAAATACCATATAATTTTATGTACACCTCTTAACTGTATTTTAATTATGTAACTAGTTCATTTTTAGACTTTACTTTCATTGTAACTACATTATTACTACATCATGTAATTAGCACACAATTCTATAGCTAAAATGTTTTTAAGTGTATTTACCTGATGATGGCTTCTTGAAAGCTGAAACATGTAGTAAAGTACTACTTAAAACTACATACACATATTATTAATTGCTGTGTTGTGATGGCTTTCAATAAAGAAATATATAATACACAACAGGATGCATTCACTGAAAATTATACCAAAATAATTACACTCGCATTAATGGAAGTAATCACACTGCATCCCTCTTTGGAAACAAGGTGGCAAGCTATGACTTTGCAAGACTAATTATAAACAGCACAAATCACAAAACAAATTTCTTTACTAGGAGGTAAGAAATGATCTCTGTCGATTGCAACATGCCTACTCCCTTTCACCAGCCTACTCTTGTGCTACCAATGCAATCACTTCTCCTGCATATACCATGTAACCAATTTTAAACCTTCCATATTCTTAATACTAGGCTTATATGACAGAGTGGGACACAAAAATAAGAAAAGTTGGATTCTTCTGCAACACTGACAAAACAAGGCACATTAAAAAAAGGCACCTGCCAGATTTCACCATAACTAAGTGGATAAGTATTGTCTTCTGGGTTGTAATGCCTTGTAGTTTGGACAGAGCCCAACGTTTTGGAAAAACACATCTTCAGAAGAAACTTCAACCCTGAATTTGGAAATGACGTGCTCCCCCTAAAACATAAACTTCCTCAAAACTACAACATGTTATAATCCAGAAGACCTTAAAATTAACAGAAAATGTCATGCAAAGCTCATACCAAACGTACACAAACTATGCAATCTGCCCTTCAATCTACATTTTTCAAACTATGTTCATCCCTCTCTAAACCATACCCAGTATTTCATGTACCAAAGATATCTTTCATTTTATGCGAAAATGGCTTATGATGATTTCTTACAAATGAAAACTGAAAAATCTGAAGCCCTTATATAGCATAAAGATACCATACTTATTTAATGCTGTGAAATACAATTACAAATGAGAGGTAGATAAAGATAAAGTTGCTCTCATCAGGCATACAAGCAAGGACTGCACCTATAACATCGTGCATTCCTAACCTCAACACTACATACAGCCAAGTGATCAGTTTCGTGTCCTGTCTGCTATCCCTGGTGAAAGGGCCTCCCAGTAACTTTCGGACAGGAGGCTCAGTGCACCACAAAGCCAATATGGATGTTACAGTGAGGAGGTAAAAATCCTCCCTTAAATATAAAAACCTATTTATGTCAAAGTATTTGTTTTAGTTCAAATGGATATGAAACAGGCATAAAGGGGGAAGTTTTATAGCAAATATGTACTAACAACTGCCATCAGGAATGAAAAATGCAACAGCCATAATCATTATGCATAGTACATTTAACAGAAAACATGCTCTCTGGATTACTGAATGAAAGAATTTAAATTATATGAAGCAGTCCCATTACAAAATTTGTAACATCACAATGACTCTTGGGCATTTAAAGCAAGAAACAGAATATGATCAGCAGAGATGAGATATCCAAGAAGTGTTAAAGGTTGCATTAGACTCCATCGTATTAACATCTAGGACATTATGAAAGAACCTGATATAAAAACTAAAATTGACGAGTACAGGCAAAACTGGATAAGTCAATCAAATCAAACAACTGATGAAGGAATACTGAAACAGATTCTGCAGTATAAACTGAAAAAATGTCGAACTGAGGAAGGGCTTGGAGAAGGAATGACTATATTAAGTAAGAACAGGACTCACTGCCTATACAATGATGTGAACAAGAAAGGGGAGGAAGACATATGAACTCGACTATACCCGCCAGCTATCTCCTTTAGAAATTAGCATAGTGGGAATTAGAGTAATGTTATCACTGCAGCTAATGTAACAAATATTTGTGAAGCCAAGTAACTCTAGTCCCACCTGAGAAATCACATACTTTATGAAATGTTACATTTACTGCTATTGCAACAGTCAACTGAAATTGGATCAAAGTCACAGGCTTCCCTTATCTGGGGACAGAAATTATATTTAAATGTTATGTATGCTAAACTCATGGCTCTGTTCCTTACCAGTCTGCCACCCAACCTAAGTCATGATACATCTCCCCACTAGAAAAAATGTTAAAGTTAGGCAATTAAAACTATTCTATATCTCCCATCATAAACACCTTCAGAGTTAACTATTCTACACATGTCAATCACTGTACAGCATCAATATGAGAAAGTGTCTGGAAATCCTAAGCTTTCATCCAACAGTTTAAAGTTAGGCTGCAGAAGAGATTCTAACATTTATTAAATACTTGTATACTAGGACCTGTTTGTTACAGAGAATTGATAACAAATTTTGAAATGTGTGACAGCATGATTTTATGTAAAACACTACAATATGCAGCCATTTTCCAGAAATAAAACGTTAAAAGCTGCCCAATTAATGTGTTTTATTAAGGGAACTTAAGTATATAACGCAAAATAAAAGAAGCTGCCCAAATTAACACTAACCCCCCCTGACAATTTGAGTACTGTTATGTCTCCTGTTTTCCAAAGGCCTGAAAAATACTGCAAAACACAAAAACTGTAATTCCAAAATTTTCTGCCTTAAACTTATGAATATATATGACTGCTAGGCAACTACAAGATGAATTATAACATGCCACTTATTAACAGAGATGTGTCAGTTAAAAACAAACGTAAAATGCCACTTTCAATTTTAACAGATTAAAATCACAGGTGTGTTTCCAGTAACATGGGACAAAGTCAAAAGTCACTGAAGTTTCATGTGCAGTGAAATCTGTCACATCCCTGCATTCTTATCAGACAACATACAAAGAGCAAGCACATACAGCATATAGTGGCTGTAATGTGTCACCACTAACTGTGTTACTTGAGTGTAACTCCGAAGTCCTTAAAGAGTTAACTATCCACTTAATTCAAAAATTTTATTTATCTACAAGGAAATATAAGTAGAAAACAAGGTTTCAATTCCTTTACACTTCTTAACAAAGACAACGAAAGTTTCTTACTTTGTTCATATACTATATAGGTACAAACTCCCATATAACAAGTGATTGGTCACTGTTCCCAATATACCGTTTGTATACAGGCTTTAATTCAAATTCGGAGTAAAATGTATACCTATAAGAAGGGCATGCCGTTTGTGTGAGCATGTGAAAACTATGAATAAAACCAATATACTTCCCAACTGGAATGCTTATTTAATTTCCACGATTTTAAATTCTGTAATTGGGATATAATTTGTTAAATTCACATTCTGAACACTACAGCAAGAGTGTGATAACGGTGAACTACATTAAACAGGTATTATGAGCAGAATTCTGTATTAAAGAAGAATGCATCTATCCATATGTTTCATAAACTGATGTTAATATACGCGTATAGTATTTGATAACAATATCATACGTGCATCAGTATGAGGCCTAAATGTGGAGTATGTATCTAGAAATACACGAAGAAAGTAATGTATAGGGAAATTAAACAACTGCTGCTTCCTAAAGTGGGTGCAATTTATCACAAAACCATTAGTGTTAACATTCCAACCTAAATTCTGCATCCACTTGTTGACGTGGCGCTTGCTCAACGAGTAAATAACTTCTTACGCATTACAATAACTTAAAAATACGATAATCATTCAATGGATGCTATTCAATAATCTGCAACACGATGAAATTTTCCTAAGAGCTTCAAAGACCTCAATACTATTTTAAAATATGGCGACCATATAAAGTTTTGCAGACGACTTTTACATCAATCACCACTACTCATTTAGATATAAATCATACAATTATATGCTTTACCTTATTCCTCAAGAAGACTTCTATCGCACGGTAAGCAGAATCCGTAAGTCTCACAAATATCAAAGACTTATTTTCATGAAAATTTCCATGCGATGACAAACCATACTGAACTCCTTCCACCAGACCCGCCATTTCTGTCTCCTCGCTTGCTCTTGGGCACCAGCTGACGTTGGGTAGTCAAGTGAGTAAATATAATACAAAAGTTAAGGTCACAAAGCTGACAAATTAATTAAAATAGAATAATTAATTTATTAACTTCTAAATATTTCTTGCATTATGAGCTGTGTAGTAAATATAGCTATATATTTGATTAATAAATTTATCATTACCATAACAAAATTAAACAAGAGAGGGCAGCAAAATCAGTACCACCCTATGCTGTGAGAACTAGTTTCAGGTAGTTAGTGTAGTGACATCTATAGATTACAATGTCAATTGTTGAATAACTGAGTTTTGGCGGTCACGGTGGATAATTAACTAACAACATGAAGCTGTGTCCTGCCTGAGAAAGCGCCAGATGCACAGTTACTCAAGAATTTCCAAACATTTATGGATGTCGAAAGTTCATTACCGTGTTCACAAGAGCCCTCCACTGATACCTATCCCAGACCAGATCAGTATAGTCCATACCACACCATCTATTATATCCAAGATCCATTTTAATATACTCCTACCTACGTGTATGTCCTCCTAGTGGTGACTTTCCTTCTGGCTTTCCCACCAAACACTTGTATGCATTTCTCTTATCCCCATGCATGCCATATGCCCTGCCAATGTCATCCGCCATGACTTGATCATCCTAATTCATTCATTCTATTTATTTTCCATAGATCCGTACAGTATATAACCAGGATGTGGATATTGTCCTTAAAATACATATCAAAATAATCTTCATAATACATATACAAAATTGTACGAGTCCATTATTTGCAACAATTGACAATTGGTGAATACTACAAGTTATAAAGCTCCTCACTATGCAGTTTTCTATAACCACCTATTGCTTCATCCATCTTTGGTTCAAATATTCTCAATGCCCTGTTCTCAAACCCCTTCAGTCCACATTCCTCTGTCAGAAACCAAGTTTCACACCCATACAACACCGCATGCAAAATTCTAGTTCTGTATGTTCCAGTTTTTACATTTTTAGACAGCAGATGAGAAGACAAAAGATTCTGAATTGAATGGTAGCAAGCATTACCCAAATTCAATCTCCTCTTGATTTCCTCATGAATGAAACTTCAATTTGCTACTGTCATTCCAAAATATTTGAAATGTGCCACATTTTCAAAGCATCTGTTAGATAACTTCTTGTCATGATTTCACTCTGCATTCTGATGAGGAGACAGCAACATATACATCGTTTTCTCTGTGTTTACTTCTAAACCAACATCCGTACTAGCATCAATTAAAGTTCATGTGTTTTTCTTTATGGTATCTATATTATCATCCAGTAGATTCACATCATCAGCATAGACCAGCAGTTCATATGCGCCATTTAATTTCAGTCACACCTGGTTTTCCTGGACCTTCATAATGGCATATTCTAAAGCAGCATTCAAGAGTGGCAGTAAAGCATCTCCTCGTTTTAGACCATTATGGATAGGAAAATAATCAGACAAATGTTTACCTATACTGACTTCACTACACGTTTTATTTAAACACATTTTCACCTGCCTATGTAGTTTCATGGGTACTCCAAACTCTATAAGAGTATTGTAGAATACAAGGACTTCCCTTCTAGCTGAATCACAGGCTTTCTTGAAGTCTATGAATGGCTGATGTACTGCCTCATTGTACTCCCTTCTTCTCCGGCATCTGATGAATGCAAAAGATCTGATCAATAGTTGGTCTGTTTCATCAAAACCTATACTGATGATCCCCAACAATTTCATCTATATATGGACTTAACCTTGACAGAAGGATATTGGATAAAATTTTGTATGAAGTTGATAGCAGTGCCATCCCATGATAATTACTACAGTCAGTTTTCTTCGCCTTCTTGTAAATTGTTACTCCTTCCAAAGATCAGGAAATTTTTCCTTATTCAATATACTATTAGTAAGCTTATGGATCTCACACTGTAATGCTTCACCTTTTGCTTGAATCAATTCTGCTGGAATTTGATCACTATCTGGGGAGTTCTACCTTTCCAATAGCACTTCAACCTCAAAATGACTAGGATCAGGTATTAACAGCTCAAATGTATGTATTTTTATCTGCCTAACATCATTGGCCCGATGTACAGTCAATAACTGAGAGAAGTATTTCTTCCACCTATTCAAAATGTTGTGGGAATCTGCAAGCAGATCACCATTTCTTCCTTAACTAAGTTACTTCTAGGTACTTCTAGGTTGGTAACCCCTCTTAATTTCAATCATTCCCCTATTCTAATGTTCTTGTTCTTACTGTTCGTTGCAAGGTCATTAATTTTGTCTTTCAGATATTCCCTCTTTTTGTTCCTGAAATTCCTGGTGCTTCACATCTTATATTGTTCAGATTATCCCAATTTAACTCGCTTGGATCCTGTAACCATTGCAATTTGGCATGCTTTCTTTGATCTAATAATTTTGAGCATCCTTCATCAAACCATGGCTTATGCTTCTTCAGTTCGCCTAGACTCTCTTTGGCAGACATTTTTATATTCTCTCTGATGGCTTTCTGAGCTCTATTAATATCCACCTCAGCATCTAAGTTTTCCAAAGCTGTGAACCTATTTGAGATGTCAACATGATACTGCTCTTTACCTTCTACCTCATTGAAATTCTTGAGATTGAACCTCTCCATATTAACTCTGTGCATTGTTTGTTTACTCACTGCCAGCCTCTCCCTAACTATTGCCACTGTTCTTTGCTCCCTACTTTGTTTCTAAACACATGCATCATGTTTTATGCATTCTTTATCAGAATAACAACAACCAGACACTGGAAGACAGAATTACATCAGGCTACCTAGTGTTCAAAACCCCATGCATTTTTGTGATGAAAGATCTCTCTGTGTGTTCCAATCACATCCCTATTTAAGATTACTTTATTGATAATACATTATTAGCAATCAGATACTTCAACATAACCTGCCCATAAAGATTTTTATGCTATATCCTGCTTCCTGAAAAATATGCCTAAGAAACTGTCAGTGCCAGTGTCAACCCATTACCTGAAGATGGAGTACTCTTTCAGAAAACATGCCCCATATCACACTATGAATTAACTCAATCTCAAATTTGTTACCATTCCAAAATATTTTAATTCTGGCAGTTTCAAAAGATTTGCTATCCACAAAGAATAATTTTATTCTGCATTCTAATGAAATTTACTTAAATTTTCTGTTCATTTACTTCTATGCCACTATTCTTACTAAATCTATTAAGGCTTTTGTCTGTGCTTTAATTTATGATATTAGTGGAGTTAACAGATATGCATAAGCAGAAACTAGAAGCTGATGTGTCCTATTCAATTCTAATCCTTCCTGATCTCCTTCAGTTTTCCTAACAGATATACTTGGATGGCAAATTCACATCATCTTTTAACATCAAAAGTATATGGCAAAATGAACCCTATCAAACAACCTAATTAGTTACATGGATATACATGTACCTGTGCAACTACCCAAATTCACTGAGAATATTGTGCAATATTTCTCCTGGTTGTCTCTTAGTCTATAATATGTTACACTATAACACTGTATTCTCAGTATCTAAACCAGTATGCTAAGGCCCTCAGTAAGCTGTGTCAAGAAAAATGTCAAGTTAATGCATAAGCAACTATGCTACAAGCCAGAAGGTCACGGGTTCAAGTCCCAATGAGGTCATTGGATTTTTTTCAATTGACCTAATTCCTTCCAGCCGCACTATAGCCTTGGGGTCAACTCAGCCTCTAACAGAAATGAGTACCAGGAATTAATTAAATAATTTTCCTGGGGAGTAAAGCACGGACAGCGCGCAAGGCTGACAACCTTACCACCATCTTTGACCCGACTGTCTAGATAATGTGGGACCCTCAATGTCTCACAATCCTATGGGCCTTCACGGCTTGTTACAGGGATAGCTTTACTTTATAGACTTACTTACTCATTGGCTGTGCCCTTCTGGAGGAGCTGCCAATTCTACAGCTAGTCAAGAATTTCCCAGCATTTTATGGAACCCAAAGGTTCATTACTGTGTTCACAAGAATCCTCCACTGCTCCATATCCTGAGCCAGATCAATCCAATCCACACCATCCCATCCTATCTCTCCAAGATCCATTTTAATGTTATTCACCCACCCACGCCTTGGTCTTCCCAGTGGGCTCTTTCCTTCTGGTTTTCCTACCAATATCCTATGCGCATTCCTAGTCTACCCCATTCGTGCTACATGCCCTGCCCACCTCATCCTCCTTGACTTGATCATTCTAATTATACTTGGAGAAGAGAAGTTATGAAGCTCCTCAACTCATATCTCTTTTCTTTAGCTGAGGTTGTTTATCCAGAGGATCCGTCCAGGTCCGAGGCTGTGTGTTCATTTTCGTAACATGATTAATTTTTATGGTAAGGAGTTGTTAGCCCCACGCCCAACCCCCAAGCTTGAGGACCATCCCTTGTCAGCTGTCTGCAACTGCTTATTCAATCTATTTGCAGCTTCCCTCCAAAACTGGAGGGCGTCCCCTCCATCCGCAACCTGAGGACGCGCCATGCCATGGTGGCAAGGGACCCACCTAACATGGTGGGTAAGCACATACACAGGGCTTCAAATATATTTGTCTGAAGAAACACAACACTGTACACTGTTAAGCAGAAATTCTTGATTATAACATATTCATATTAATGGAGGTGCTTTGTGAGTTGGTGATCGGAAGTTTGTAATAGTCTGTATATATTTATATCAAAGGGTATTGCCAAGGTAATTCTGTGAGCTGGTGAGCAGAAATTTGGAACAGTCTATATGTATTTACATTAACTTACCTTGTTCCAATTCTGCCCTTATTTTGGTAATTTGACATACGTTTGCACTGTGATTCCAGCTATTTACAATTACATTAATAATGTTCTGAGCAGAAAACATTTTTAGCAAATTGTATTAATTACAGTGGTATCTGACACATTTTTTGTACAGTGATTGACTTTTTGGATATCATTAATTTTCCTATGGGAGCAT